TTTCCTTTGTCTAGAATTTCATTGTATGTTAATATACTTTTCATTTATCCATCCTCTTGTCAAAGGACATCTGGGTTGTTTCCAGTACTTTGCTGTGGTGAACAATGTTGTTGTGAATCTTCCTGGAGCTGGTAACAGGTGCGTCCTTTGTTTCCAGTGCATACTTAGAATTGCTTGTTGCAGAGTGAATGTGAACTCCCTCGTGTGGCACATAAATTTCATTTGAGCCACATCCTTGCCAGCACAGAGTCAGACTTAAGTTTCTTCCAACCCAGTGAGTGTAAAAAATTAATGTGCATTTCTCAAATAATTTATCAAATTTGTATTTTTACAAGCCAGCTGCGTTCTTCTGTGAAACTGCCTGCTAATTTTTTTCCTGCCCATCTTCCTATAGATTGTGCCTTTTTAAAAACATGGACTCGTAGTTCTTTATATATTTTGGCTACAAATTCTTGATTACACGTGGTACAATTATTTCTCCCATTCGTGCCTTTATTTCCAGTCTTTATGGTATCCTTTGATAAACAAAGCTTTTTATTTTTTAAGATTTTATTTATTTATTTTTAGAGAGGGGAAGGGAGAAAGGGAGAGAAACATCAATGTATGGTTGCCTCTCGTGCGCCCCCTACTGGGGACCAGGCCTGTATCCCAGGCATGTGCCCTGTACTGGGAAATGAACCGGCAACTCTTTGGTTCGCAGGCTGGCTCTCAATCCACTGAGCCACACCAGCCAGGGCATAAACAAAGCTTTTACATTTGATCAATTTATCAATATTTTTCTTCATGGCTTGTAATTTTCTGTGTGCCTTAAGACATTTTTCTTTAAGTTCTTAGAGATATTTTCCTATACTTATTTCTAATGTTTTGCCTTTCACATCTTTTTTTGTTTTTTATTTTGATCAAAATTACATGCATACCTATTTTAAGGAGTCAGAGTTCCATAAATTTGTGGTGAGGAAGAGCAGCCCTTCCACTTCCCCCATGTGCACTGACTTCCACCTCTTTAGTGGGCTTGTGTGGCTCCTTCTTGATTGTTCAAGTTTTGCCACCAGGAGGTTGATGCCTTGTCTCCACAATGCATATGCATCCTTCTTGTTCCCCAGCTTCCCAAAGTGATTAGGTCACCGTCAGGGTACATCAATATTCTGTGGTTAAGCTAGGCTACATATTAAAACCAGGTTTACTTATCCTCTCTTGCAGGTTTTGTTTCTTTCCCTTGGAATTTTAAATTATCTTTTATTCACTGTTTAGTTTTCTATGTATTTATCACATAGCCAACCTCAAACTATCAGATTTTATACATATATCCTCATGACATTCAGGTGCCTTATATAACTTCTCAGTTAGATCTCCCTGAAGTCTTTCCCCAAGGCTTTTTGGTCTCCAGTCTCCACTGATAACATTTCGTGTGCCATTCAACAAATCCTTATTAAATTAATCACGTGCCCACACAGTATGCTAGGCTCTGGCAAAAAAAAGTGAGCAAGACAATTGTGATTCTTGCCTTCATTGAGTTTACTATCTAATGGTAGATTCAGGAAACAATGTTTTCTTTATTCCTTTTCTTTCCTTCCTTCCTTCCTAAAAACATTTTATTATTTTAGAGAGAGAGGATGGGAGGAAGGAGAGAAGCATCAATGTGAGAAAGAAGCATCCATCAGTTGCCTCTCGCAAGCTCCTGACTGGGGACCTGGCTTAAACCCAGGCATGTACCCTGACTGGGAATCAAATCAGCAGCCTTTTTGGTTTGTGGGATGATGCCTAAGCCACTGAGCCACACCAGTGAGGGTGAATGGGTTTTCTTTCCTAGTTATTTTCTAGGGTCTGGAACTGATGCCTGCCTGTCATTAGATGGCACCTGGTGTGTATCCCCTGAGGATGGGAGGGCTGCTTCCCAGTTTCCTCCCTGGCCAAAGCTCTCAGCACTCTAAGCTAGGGGCCGACAGTGGGAACCATATGAACATTTTCCGACTTTCCCTCAGCTGGGCCCTGCCTCATGATATGAAGTTATAGTAGGCAGTTTTGTTTTTAGTCCCGCCCCATTTGCCCCATGATTAGTTGAGGTTCTGGACTTAGATTCTGATGCGGGGAGCATTGGTGAGGCTGGGCAAACGCTGTGATGAGAATGGGTCAGGGATCCTAGAAACTCATGAATCTGGCCACACCTCCCTGGGAACATACTGGACCCAAACCACAGGCAGAAATCTAGAAAGTTGGGCTGACGTCTGAAGAGGCTCTATTTTCTCTAAGTCCAGAGCAGAGAGTCAGATTTTACCTGTGCCACAAGACCACCTAGAGTAATGGTACCTGAGTCAAAGGGGCGGTGGGGAGGGGGAGAGAAGAAAAAGATTTAATATCTAAGGATTGGCGGCTAGGGCTACTGGGTGTTTTGGGGCCAATTACTGCTGTCTCAAAGACAGGTAAGAGAGGAGCAGATAGGACTAGGGTTGTAGACCAAGAAAGTGAAGCGCCCACCTCTATTTACTTCATTACTGTAATCCCCTTAAAATGTGGCCCAATCAAATTTGGAAAATGATCCAGCATTGGGGGAAGTGGAGTTTTCTTAGATTGGGATCTTCATCTTGGGGAGCTGTGGGGGTGGGAAAGCTGTGAGATGACCCGAGTGCTCCCTGCAGGCCTAGGAAGGTCGTTTTGCTATGATTCAGCCCTGCCCCACCCCACCAGAATTCATGAGTACTTAGTGGGAAATTGGTAAAGGGCTATAAGCAAGGGTTCACAGCCAGTCAAATAAAACCAACTCTGTAGTTTAAAATCACCCAAGCTCACAAACAGGTAAAGATGAAGACCATGTCAACAGTTCAGCTTGGCCTAACTATTGGCCAATACAGCATCAGGACATAAAATGCATTGTGATGTGCAGATAAAACACTGCCTTCTCCATACACTTCCTCAGCCCACACTGCAGGTGCCCATGGTCACTGGAGGCCTTTGTAGGTACAGAACAGAAGCTGCCCTCAGGGCAGAGAAGTGGCTGAGGAGGCTGGAGCATGACCGCCAGGAGAAAAGAGGGCAGGCCTCTGGTTAGGTGTGAACTAGATGTAGGAAGAAGCAATTCAAGAGTCCCCAAGATCAGAACCTGTAGCAGTGGTTCCAGCCTGGGCCTGGGCTTGCATCTGTGCAAGAACAAAAAACCAAACAAGAGGCTCAAGATCCCCACAGGCATAGAAAAAGGCCCTTTCAGAGCAAGATCCTGGCTTGGCTGTTGGCGCGTGGTGGGGCTGGTAGAGTGTGGGGGCAGAGCAGCCTCACAGCCACAGGAGTGACAGCACAAGGCGCCGCCACTGTAGTTTTTGCCAAGTGCTCAGTCTGAACCACTGCAGCAGGCACAGCGGAGAAACCACCCTGAGCTCTTGGGGCAGAACAGATTCTGGGAGAGAAACTGGGATGGATTACCTGGGAGAGAAGCGAGGCCAGTGTTTAGATTCTGCAACAAGCACTCAGTCAAGGAAAACCGTATTGTGAGAACTCTCAGCACCCTTTCCCCATTCTGTGCTTTGACTTTGCACCCTGTGTGCCTGGGGCTGGTGGCCTGGGGAAATACTGTTATAACGTGAAAGCAAGTCTGTGTATTTCCTTTTTAAGTAAATCTTCCCCAGGGCAACTGTGGTAGCATTCCCAAGGCAAGTTCTAGCTGGGGTATGAAGGGAGCAGGCAGCCAGCTTCCCACACCCTGAACCTAAAAGCTCTAGGAAGGTGCCTGGATGACAGCACAGGCGTAGAGAATCACACTCTTCATTCCTAAGAGGACTCCATCCTGCTTGTTTCCTTGCAGACCCAGGTTTCCAAACAATGACCACTTTCTGTCTGTATTCTGGTAATAACTTCCCACAACATGTGCAAATAGTCACAGCATTTGGGAGCTAAAAGGGGGCATACACATATTAATGCTCTCATTTTACAGGTAAAGTGGCCTGAAGTAGTTAATTTCCCTGCCTTCTTCACATCCTCCTTTTAGGTTAGGGAGGGAGCCCAGGTGGCACCATTTGAAAGCTTCTGAGCTGTACTTAGTGGCAGGGCCTTTTCTTTGATAGAGCCTCTCAAGAAGCCTTCTGGGGAGGCAACTGGCCCCTATTGTCCTGCTGGAGCTTCCCTGAATTTTGAATAAGGCTTCTTAGCGCCTTCCCTGGCTTAACATTGGACCCTTGGTTGTAATTCCAGGTCACAAGATTAAGAGCTTTATGTGCATTATTACATGTATTAACTTCTGCTTTTCAGAAGAGGTTTTCCAGATTATAAACACTAGCTTTTTTTTTCTTTTCAAGCATTTATTTATTTATTTATTAAATACATTCGTCTCTGCCTCCCCTAAACACTAGTTCTATGTGAGAAGATAAATGGGTTGAGGTTTCAATCCTGCAAACAAGACAGTGAGTGGAGGAAAATTCACCGATGGCTGTCTTTCTTCCAAGCCTATAAAATCAGCTTCTGGGGGCAGTTCGGATGAGACCAAGGGGAGGCTCTAGAAGTAGATGACTATGTCTGCTGGGAGTCTCTGGTTATGCCCAGTGGGTACCCTAACCAGACACTCTCTCCGCAAAGCCCATGAGAGGGCTCTTGCCATGACACACTGTGGGTTCTAAAGAAAGGCCACATTTCATCCTCACAGCCCATTTCCCTTGACTGATCCTTTTATTTATTTTTTAAAATGGACTCGAGAGAGAGATTTACTGATCCGCTTATTGATGCATTCATTGGTTGATTCTTGTATGTGCCCTGACTGGAGACTAAACCCACAACCCTGGCATATCAGGATGACGCGCTAACAACTGACCAGGCTGGCAGCGCCGGGACTGACCTTTCAGGTTTTACAGACTGGCGTGCTTCGGGGGAGACATTGCCTAGCCCTCTGCACATCTGTATATGGGAAAGAAATGACCCTCTGTGACTTGTTTTATGATGAGTCAGTAAGAAGTTATTTATTTTCTAAAAGTATAAAAACACATACAAAAAGGGACTATCTCTTGGCTAAAATGAAGAGAATATCATTATAACAAACATCCCTGTGGACAAGGCCACTGTAGACAAAGTATTGCTCCCAAACCATTAATAATTACAACTCTGTCACAGACTCTTTAAAAGGTTACTACTTCTAAATTACACATGGAATAAGGAGTTAGTTTTATTAAACCAGTCTCATAAAAGTAAAGAATGTGCTTCTTCAGGTTTATAAAATAAAATTCCAAGGCTCTGAAGAAAATAATTTTATCTCAGTCCCAGGGAACTTTTCTCCCCAAGAGTTGGTTGGTCACTTTCTGTGGAAGAAAAGACAGGCAAGAGGGAAGTTAGCAACTCTTGCAGTCAGAGGCAGACAGACACTCCTCACCTCAGGTATATTGGTGAAGAGACCAGTGTGGTTCTACCCAAATCTTGTTTGTCTTCCCCACCTATAGAAACTACGGTTATTATACAACAAAAATACTTTCTAGAGTATTTAGGAAAAATGATCTATAATCAATATCTATTATTTCTATATAGATACAGATACTCTATAATCCTGATAGACTGACCCCATCCATCATTTCACAAACACACAGGTACAATGAGAGGCCTGACACAATGCCTGTGGCCTCTGCACTCGAGGAGCCCCAGCCCGAGCTTTGCGTTGTGCTTCACAAGCAGTTTTCCAATCCCACACTGGTCTCGAATGAACTCATCTTTTGGTTTCTGACTTTCAGAGTCCTTTTTGGGTGAAGTGAAGGGGCTGGGAAGAAACCAGGACAGTGAAGGATATGGGCCTCCAGGCATAGTAGCTGATTTTGTTTCTCAAACAATAAATTGCTACCAAGTCCCCCGGCCTGTGCAGTTCCGGGATCTGCAGCACTACTGACTCCACTGGGGCTTTGGACAGGACATGGTGTGGTTTCAAGGCTCTGGCTCCCCAAGCTGCCAACTCTTAAGCTGCACTGGGACTTTTTCCACTTTATTTAAAAATCCTAGAGCTATAAAACTACCATCTGGGAATTTGGAATAAAAACCCAAGTTTCTACCATGACATACATCTAAACTGACTCCTAAGGATGAAACTGGTTTCATTCCAAATGTATGCCTAGAGGGTTTTTTTTTTGGGTGGGGGGGGGGGGGGGGGCGGGATTTGCTTTTTTATTTTTAGATTTGAAATCTAGTCATAGGTGTCTTTATCTTCCAAATTTCAGCAGTGGTATATGATGCATTATGAGCTTACGTTCACTCCCCAAAGGTAGTCAATTCAAACGAGTCATATGTGTTTCTCTCAATTTCTCTTCCTTCTGATAAACCTGATCAATCCTGCTCTAGGACTTACTGACCTTTTTATACAGCTGGGCTCGCAACCGGTATGATTTATATTCCAATCTCCTCTTTTCCTCTTCTTTCTTTTTCTGTACTTCTGGAAGCTGTTCATAAATCCTTAGAAATGACACCAGTGGAAAGACAAAAAGCATGAGGTTACCAGACCACAAAGGCACATGGTGTCTTCTCACCTAAGCTCTACTGCTCTCAAGGCAGTCAGTCCCTCACAGACAGGCCCTGGGCCATTGTGTGCCCAGTGTCCTGTCAGACACTTGGACACAAAATATCCTGGCCTGGGGTGCTTATAATCTGGAAGGGAAGACAAATAAATAAAAACAAACAATTAAATCCTGCTGATAGTGGTTACTTCTGGAAAAGAAGTGGGATAATGGGATGGAGATAAATTGCTTTTCACTCTATATGCGAAAAATGTGTACCTTCACTATGAGATAATGAACATGTATTACTATTATATTTTTAAACATAAGGGAAATAATGGGGGAAAAGTTCAATAATGGTCATATCTCCAAAATGCTACAAAATATTACAGGAAATGCAGAAACTTATTCTGAGTGAAGTAAGTCGGGGAAGGCCAGAGAGGAGATTAAGTTTGAGGCGGGTCTTGAAACAGGAGCATAATGGGGATGCGAGTTACGGCAGGTCAAAGCTTCACAGAGACAAGTGTAGGGGGGCAGGCGGGAAGCAGATGGGGTGAAGGTGAGGTGAGCTGTGGAGGGTCTCCGAGCAAGGTGAAGGCTCGGGCTCTCTATCCTATTAGCAATTGGTGTCACTGATTTTAAGTAGGGAGGAGCATGATCAAACATGCATATGATAAATATACTCTAATTGGAAATAATCTAAATTTCCAACAAAAATAATTAAACAGATTATAGAATAGAATAAAATTATTATAAAGCATAAAAATACGTTTCAAAAATTTTTTAATGTTATGGAAAAATAGTCACAATTTAATGTTGAGCACAGTAAAGCAGGTTACAAACCTGTATATATTAATTAATTGGATCAATTTGGGGAAAAAAGTATGTGTTAAAACAAGTGCCTGCAGAACTCCCTCTCCTGCCAGATACAGGAATAGTGTGTTCTATTTAGATGAAAGGATTATGAATGATACGTATTTTCTTATTTCAACTTTTCTGACATTATATATATATATATAGTTCTGACATCAACTATATTTTCTGACATTTTCTCTATCTGAAAAAAATCATTGAAAATGATAGAGAGGCTCTGTGGAAAAGAGATCAGAGAAGGTAGATAGCAGAAGCTGGAGAAGAGCAGTCCTCTGCGAGTGGAGGCCAGCCCACGTCCGTCAGGAGTTAGCAGCGGGGTTCCAGGGCAACCGGGAAGACTGTCTCGAGCATGTGCTAGCTGGGTGCATGTGCAGTGATGGGTCAAGTGACTGCTCCTCAGCTTTCTAGCTGTGTGAGTTGGGGTCCCGAGCAAGTATGGGAGAGAATGGGGAGTTCCACATAATGAATATAATCACTAACTGAAAAAGCAAAAGTAGAGGTCAGGAAAGAGACCTAAAAGGAATAAGTGTACACTTTTAAAAGTCACTGTTCATGGAGAAGGATCCAAATGGTGGAGGAGTAAGCTGAAGCTACATGAACGTCCTCCTATGACCAATCTGGAATTATAGCTAAATTGTAGAGAAATCATCCTGAATAACCAACTGAACACTAGCTAGAGAGAAGGACAATGAAAGACAGAAGAAACCACTTTACCACAACACTGGCAGGGAGTGCAGAGGAGTCACAAAAGGGCTGGCTGGACTCCCATGGGCAGCAGCTGAAATTCCGGAGGAATATATAAGTGGCTGAGGGTTAAGGATTCCCCAAGAAGTGTTGGGTCTAAACCCAAAGCTTGGCTCCCCAGCCTGTAGCACCAGAGCTGGAAAGGAACCCAGAAAACATCCAGCTGTGAAAACATCCAGCAGGGTTTCTGTCTGCCAGGGAGAGATGGCTGGAGATGCAGAGAGCCTCTTAAAGGGCCAACACATGAAATTTTGTTTATAGTCACTTATGCTGGGCTCTAGCGTAAGGGGAAGGGAAGAATGGACTAGAGATGTTTGAGGAGAGTCTGGGGTTGGTGGCTCAATGGAGAGAACTGAAGGAGCAGCCACCAGGATACCTGTGCTGATTCCTCCCCCATACTGCAGACGCCATCTTTCTCAGGCAGAGCACCCAAGTGATATCAGCCTGAGGGGAAGCAATAGCCAACCCCCACCCCCACAGGAATTATCTCCTTCCCCTCCGCCCGTGGTGCTTAGGCCACTGATTACAGCTTAAACCATATCACTGATGGTTTAGCAACTAAGGTGGGATATACAAAGAGGCCCCCAAAATGGGAAGACAAAGAAAGAGACCCCAAGTGAAAGAACAAGAGAGTTCTCCAGAAGAACTAAATGAAATGGAGGCAAGCAATTTATCAGATAGAGAATTTAGAGTAATGATTATAAGGATACTCAACAGCATGAAAAAAGACACAGAAACCATTAAAAAGGGCTAGTCAGAAAAAAAAGAATGTAATATCTGAAATAAATAAAACACTGGAAGGAATAAACAGTAGATTAGATGAGGCAGAGGATCAAATCAGTGATTTGGGAGACAAGATACTCAGGCAGAGCAGCAGAAAGAAAAACAATTAAAAAAAAAAGAAAAGAGCTTGTGAAATATTTTGGATAACATGAAGTATAACAACATCTACATCATGGGAATAGCAGAAGAAGAGGGTGAACAAGGGATCGAGAACCTGTTTGAAGAAATAGTGACTAAACACTTCTCCAATCTGGTGAAAGAAAAAAAGACATACAATTACAGGGAGCTCAAAGAATCTCAAACAAGCTGGACTCAAAGAATCTGTTCCAAGACATATCATCAATAAAATGACAAGGCTTAAAGACAAGGAGAGAATCCTAAAAGCTGCAAGAGAAAAGCAGATTGTTACATACAAGGGAGTACAATGAGACTGTCATCTGATTTCTCAACAGAAACAATCTAGGCCAGAAGGGAGTGGCGTGAAACATTCAAGGTGATGAAAGCAAGGACCTACAACCAAGGATACTTTACCCAGCAAAGCTATTATTTAAAATCAAAGGAGAAACAAGGAGCTTCCCAGACAAAAAAAGCTAAAGGACTTTGTTAACACCAAACCAGTACTGCAACAAATGTTAAAGAGCTTTCTTTAAGAAGAAGAAAAAGAGAAAGAAAGAAAAGAGGAAAATAGCCTAACAATAAAATGGCACTAAATACGTATCTATCAATAATCTTATATTGATAGATGACAGTTGTATTGATACACAGGTACTGATAGATAGATATAAGATATGTATATCTAAATGGCTTAAATGCTCCAACCAAGAGACACAGGGTAGCTGAATGGATAAGAAAACAAGACTCATATATATACTGCTGCTAAGAGACACATCTCAGATTGAAAGATGCACACAGACTAAAAGTAAAGGTATGGAAAAAGATATTTCATGCAAATGGAAAGGAAAAAAAGCTGGGGTGGCAATACTCATATCCAACAAAACAGGATTTAAAACCAAGGCTATAGTAAGAGACAAAGAAGGACACTATATCCTGATAAAGGGAACAATCCAACAAGAGGATACAACCCTCATAAACATTTATGCACCCAACATAGGAGCATCAAAATAAGTGAAGCAAGTCCTGAAGGACATAAAGGAAGAGATTGACAGAAATACAGTCATAATTGGGGATTTAAAACCCCATTGACTTCAATGCATACATTTTCTAAGCAGAAAATCAACATGGAGACAGTGGCCTTAAATGACACACCAGATCAAATGGATTTAATTGATATCTTCAGAGCATTTCACCCCAAAGCAGCAGAATACACATACTTTTCAAGTGCACATGAATGTTTTCTAGGATAGTTCACATGTTAGGATTCAAGTCTCAATAAATTTAAGAAGACTGAAATCATATCAAGCATCTTCTCTGACCACAATGCTATGAAACTAAAAAATAATCACAAGAAGAATACTGAAAAACACCCAAAGATATGGAAGGTAAATAATATGTTATAAAGCCTGACTGGATCAACAATGAGATCAAGGAAAAATTAAAAATATTTTGATGCAAGTGAAAATGAGGACACAACAATTCAAAATGTGTGGGACACTGGGAACCCTTTTGCACTGTTGGTGGGAATGCAGGTTGGTGCAGCCACTGTGGAGAGCAGTATAGAGATACCTCAAAAAATTAAAAATGGATCTGCCTTTTAACCCAGAGATCCTACTTCTGGAAATATATCTGAAAGAACTTAAAACACTAATTCAGAAAAACATAAGCACCCCTATGTTCATTTCAGTGTTATTTACAATAGCCAAGATAAGGAAGCAGCCCAAGTGTCCATTAGTAGATGAGTGAATAAGACAACTATGGGACATTTACATAATAGAATACTATTCAGCTGTGAAAAAGAAGAAAATTTCACCCTGTGCAACAGTATGGATGGACCCGGAGAACATTATGCTGAGTGAAATAAGCCAGCCAGAGAAAGACAAATACCATATGATTTTACTCATATATGGAATCTAATGAACAAACTGCAATAAGAAGGAAAATGGGGACATACTCATAAATGGAGAGCAGATGACAGCTGAGTGAGTAGTGGGGGTGAGGGGCTGGAGGGGTTGAGCAAAAAGGTAAAAGGACTCATGGTCACGGACAACACTGTGGTGATTGCTGGGAAGAGGGGGATATAAGGGGACTAAATGGCAATGGAAAAAAATACAATAAAGATTAAATAAAAAAATAAAAATCTTAAAAATAATAATAAAAAAAGTCACTGTTCATGAAAAACACAATGAGATATCACCTCACATCTGTTAGAATGGCTATTAAAAAAAGAGAGAGAACAAATGCTGGAGTGGATACAGAGAAAAGGGAACCCTTGAGCACTGCTAGTGGGAATATAAATTGGTAAAGCTACTATGGAAAGCAGTTTTTCCCCTCAAAAAACTAAACATAGAACTACCGTATGATCCAGCAATCCCATTTCTGGGTATTTATCCAAAGGAGATGAAATTACAATCTCAATGAGATATCCGCACCTCCATATTCATTGCAACAAGTCATTTGTACCATGATCTGCTACCTATTTTTCTTTTCTTTTTCAGTGCCATAAGTGAGGAAGTACTTTCACAACTAATTTCCTTATGATGTTCTGACTTGAGCAGAATGCCTTTACTCTCCCGACAAGCCAGAGCTCTTGACCACATGCTGGCCTGATCTGTACTTTTCTAATTACTCTTATTTTTTGGGCCTTACCGTTTAGACCTCTGAATCATTTCCTTCTTTCCAACAGGCCTGCCCTTCTGGGCAGTCAGGAAACCTAAGCAAGAGAAGAAAGGGTTTTCAGTGAATAGTGACTTAACAAGGAAGGCTGTGGTGTGCAAGAGCTTTGTGTGAGAGTTGCTAGGACTCTGTGGTCCTAGTGTGAGCTGACAGTGCCAGGTGGTCACCAATGGCCAAGGCCAAGGTTAGGCTATGAGGACTGTGAGGGCAGCGCAGGTCTCCTGAAGACACAACACTCTGTGGCACAGACCAGACTGTGAATTGAAACACTGCCCAGTTTACAGGTAATGTGATGAAAGCATTAGGTAGTACTTTACAGTTTTCACAGCTTTCATATATTATTTTATTGATCTTATACCTAGCATAACTGCAAAGAGCACAGACTCTGGAGCCAGCCCACCTGGGTTCAAATCCAAGCTTATTAGGTGTGTAATCTTGGGCACAGCACTGAATCTCTCTTTGCCTTAGTTTTCTCACCTCTAAAATAGGGATATTAATACTATCTGCCTCAAGAGGTCCTGTAGCATTAACACGAACAATGTCAGTAAAATATAAGGGCTTAATATTATTATTATTACTACTATTGTTACTACTATCATAACTATTATTATTATTAATATTATTACCACCCTATGAAGTAGCCAAGCCTGGAAACTGCCCCATCTTTAATGAAAAAGACATTATACTACTTTTGGAACTAACCTGCTCACAGACACAGAGCTTGTTTATATAAACACCATTCTTACTGCACATTCTCGTTTTGAAGATCCAGTGACAGGGCAAGAGTAACTGGGCTTATTTGGATCATGCCAGTACTGACAGCTAAACTGGGCAGGCAGGTTCTGCTACCTAAGGACATGTGAGTCTCAGCAAGCAAAAAGTCACTTCCTGTCCATGTCACTGGCCTGGCATTGAGCAGTGGTCCCTAGCAAGAAGCAGATCTTGACTTCTTTACCCAGTATCAGCAAAATGAACGGAGTGTACCTCTCTTAGGGAGCGGGCACATGGGGTCCGGGCGGCCCTGCCATTCTGTCACAGTGTTGAACAGCGTCTCCCGCTCTCTCTGTAATATGTTCTGCAGCTTCCTCTCCTGGACTATTAACTTCAGACGTTTTATTCGCTCCCCAGAGCGGGAGATGAAGTCAGGTCTGTGAAGCTGAAGTGATTCCTGAGGAAGAGAAAAAGCCCCCGTATTAGTGATATAGTCTGCTCTCAGGGGCCTAGAAAAACAGTACCTGACCAACAGATTTAAAGAGCCTGTTTCTAAAGATATTTTCTATTCTTTAGAAACTATCTCAAGTTGAAAAATAACCTAACAACTCTGTGAGGAAGAGCTCCAATAGGGAAATCAGAGTGGTAAAAGAAATGCCTTTGGAATAGGCCAAGAACCAAGATTGTGGCAATTACAACTCTTCTGAATGGGATAGAACTTGGCCCACTGTGCTATCTTAAATTTCCCTTCAAACAAATACAGGGTGGGGCAAAAGTAGGTTTAAAGTTGTTCATATGAAAAATAATACAGTTAATAAATAATACAAGAACTTACATGTACTCACAACTATAAACCTACTTTTGCCTCACCCTGTACATATTTAAATAACATTTCCTTTAGCTCCCAAGGGACCTATAAAGAAGAGACTTGGCACCTTTTAACCCTGCATTAAACAGGAATAGGAGTTACTGAGGGACAAATAAAGGCTGATGCAAACGTGACCCCTCCCAGAGCACTGCAGGCGTCTACAAACCCAATGAACAGCGTCGCAACATCTTCCTTTCTATTTTCTCCCCAGATACTGAGGGTGATGTATGATTTAAAATAGTTAACAGAGTAAGGCAGCCTTTGATTAATGATGAGGATGAGAACAGGTGAACTACAGAGGCGCTAGAAACTAGGGTCACATGACTGTACTTCTGAAGGCCAAGTCACAGACTGAACTTGTGTCTCACCCATTTTTTCCCCCCTTAAACGTAGGGCTAAAATTAACTCAATGTTATTGTACCTGTAAAGTGGCTCTCACGAATGGCTTCAGTGGACCTCTGCCTGGGCCAGCTAGTGACCCGTGGCTCTCTGTGTGCTGACTCTGCCAGTTCTGTTCCCGCAGTGGTTCCCTCCAAGGTTTGATGTTGGTTATTGGTGCAAACCAGGAGATACCAGGGCCACGATGCTTGGGCAGGTTTTCCTTCTTAGGACTAGACTTCACCTTTTCCATAGGAACAAACCATGAAACTCCTATAGGAAATATTTTTAAGAAAGAAAAAAGATTTTTCATTTTTCTCACCAGAGCCAGCTGTTAGAGCCCATCACGATGCCCAGGAGTCTAATTGCAGGTATGAGTCTGTAATTGTACTACTAGATACTTAAAGTTTGTTTTTCTTGTCATGGTGGTGTTGAGGGTAGAGATGGGGTCAAAATACGGTCATTGAGAAAAAGGAATCTGAGCACTTTAATAAACTTAAAATTCAGTAGTTTTTCTGCTACAAAACTGGGAATTAGAAACTGACCTTCATAGCACCTCTGCTTGCTCTTCCTTAACTTTTTGTCTCCAAGATAACTGGTAACGAGCCTTTTTTCTTCCATTTTTTCTTCCGACCAAGAAGTCACATCACTGTCCTCTTCCACTCTAACTTCGCTAGAACTGGGAGTTGGGAAAATTACCCCAACATCTCGAGTGTGTTTTCTGACACCATTCACAATCTCCAAGTTACCTGAGGGGAAAGATCACAGATGTCTCTGGGAGCAGCCTTGAGATTTGGTTGGCAGGTATATTCAAAGTTTTTAAGGCTTGAAAAACCCAGTCTACTGCCTTTGCTGGGCGTTGAGGGGGTGTGAGGGAGAGAAGGTGGTGGGGGAGGAAAGAAGGGGTTGACAGAGAGAAGAGGAGGAGGAGAGAGAAGAGAGGAGGGAGGGGGAAAAGAAAGAGGGTTTTTTATTTCTAAGCCCATTTAGATTTTAGAAAGAACTACTAATATAGATTCAATGGGTAAAGGATTTCAATTCTGATCCCAAGTAAGACAAACAGTGAATGCTTGTAGTCCTACTGGCAGTCACCCAAGTTAGGAAGAGGTTGACAGATGTAAAGACAAGACCTGGGGTGGGTGGGGAATCAACGTGGAAGTTTATTTTTGTTTTATAAAATCAAAAGATATAGAAAGGCATAAAATAAAAAGCCTCCTTTCTACTCCTGTTTTCCACTCAGTCAGTTTATGACTGCATGATTCCAGAGAATTTATTCTGTGCAGTCAAGCAATTCTTTTTTTTTTAAATACATGTAGTAGCATGCTATACACTGTTCTGTACCTTGCCTTTTCTTTTTAATTATGCACCTTGGAGATCTTTACATATTGGTAGAGAGAAAGACCTTTGTTGGCCATTGTAGGATTTCATTATATACATGTACAATAATTCAACCACTTGGCTATATTGATGGACATTGAGTTAAATTTCCTGTTAAATACTTAGATTAACTTTGTGGTTAATTCTACACATTTTTCATTTTGCACATATGCAATATGTATCTATAGGCTAAATTCTGAAAGTAAAAGTGCTGGGTGAAAGCAGTTTTGATAGAAACTGCTCAATTGCCTGTCATAGGGGTTGTACTTGCAACTCAGGCCCACTAGAATGTATGAGTGTATTTCCTTACATTCTTGCCCGCAAACTTACTATCAAGCTGAGATTTTTGCCAATCTGATAGATGAATAATGGCATTTAAGTATAGTGTTAATTTTCATTTTGTATGAGGTTGAGTATCTTATGTTTAACAGCTACTTGTAATTTGATGGAAAGAAATGTTTACATTCAAGTCATTTACCTGTTTGCACGCCCTTATTTAACAGAGGTACATTTTGCTTGTTGCAAAGCGTGGAGCTTGAGGTCCAGAAACTACTGGTAGAAGATGAAATAGAGTCAGGAGATATCATATCGTTTGCCACCTAGAAAAAGCAAGAGACTCTGTTATCATTACATGCAGTCAATGGCACAATAACCCCCAGGATAAGAAAACATACAAAATCAAATCAAAAAGAGCCCTTCCTAGTATCATTCAAATTGTTGAGATAAAGTTGCCAGGAAGCTTGTGAAAATGTCAACATGCTACCGCATAATTTATGATAGGGTGGAGAATCCTCCTACAGTTGAATAAGGGCCTGAGCTCTTTCCCGAAGGTAAGACCCGCCCCCCCCGCCCCCCTGCCCCCCAAAAAGGTATATTCCTATGACTTGAAAAATTCTGAGGAGGATGTTAGCCGAAAATTAGTCTGGTTGGTCTTTAGAATGAATCCTGACCTGACACCTGCTTAAATTTTGATGAGCGGTAGAAGGCTGGGATAATTTAAGAGACGAAGAGCTGCAGAGCGCTTAGAAGATCATATTCAGACACCTACACAAGGATGAATGCCTAAGAGCTGAAAAAGGCCCCCAGAGAGGTCCTAAATCAGAACTGCAAAAGGAACTAAAGAACCAAAAAAAGGCCTTTTTAGTTACATTCAGAACAAGGTTCAGAAAGTTCATGGATTTAAGTTGATGGTGGAATATTAGTGGGTGACAAAAAAAATTTATCAAAATATAGTTGAACAAATATAGTATAAAACAGAATTTCTTAAACTTGTGTATCATGACAATCCCCTGGGGGAGGAATCCTGACCCAGAAAAGAGTTGAAATCCTGTGGGGATAGATATGGGCACTGTATTTTGAATAAATGCCAGCTGCTTATCTTCTTAAGCAAGTTTTGTAGAGGTATACATTGAAGCTTAAGTCAGAAAGGAAACTGAGGGTATTTGCTCCCCTGAACTAAGACTATATTCCAGGAACTTCAGGAAACTTAGCAACAGAATCCTGGAAGAGAGGAGCTATGTTAGATGTCTGGGGACAAGAAATGTTTTAATTTTCAAAAAGATAAGCATTGTAAACTGGTGGGTTTAACACTAATGACCTGAGAGGTTTGAGAATGGATCACCAATCTGATAATTAAAAGATTAGCAAATTTCATCTAGGGCTCAGTAAGGCTAGCAGAACATGCCTTGCCAAGTGAGCCCTGTTTTCTCTAGTAGACATGGTCACTAACTGGGAATGAAAAAGAATGTGTAGTAGGGTACTTCATTTGAATACAGTGATAAAACTTCTCATGACATCCTTTAGGGCAAGATGGGCTTATCTGGGCTGAATGATAACATAAGTTGGTAGAACCATAATTGGTTGAAATATGCTTACTGAAATATTATTGTCAACACAGTGAGAAACCTTTACTGAACGATGTATCTTGCATTGAACAACAAACACTAAGCACTTACTGTGTGACAGTCACTTGGTTTGCTCTGGCTATTCCATCTTAACATTTTATATATCAATGTCTTAGAGATATGGAAAGACCTCCCTTACAATGTGCATCTGGGAGGGCCTAAATGGCTGCCACAATCTAAAACGGTAACAGGAATGATGGGCAAAGTCAAACAAGGGATAACTGTAAAGCTCCATACATTACTCAGGAGGAATGGCAGAAACTTGGATGCAGTAGAAAAAGCTCTGGGTCTGGAGTTCAATACCTAAGCCAGCCTCAGGCTTTCCATTTGCTAGTAGTTTCTATTTGAGTAAGCCATAATCTTTTTATGCTAGTCTCCCCATCTAGAAAGGGAACAGCTACATTTCTGAAAATATGGAAGTGTTAGAACAAATGATCTAGATCATAAACAGTGAAAAACTAATATAAAATAATGAGATCTTTATTATGTTAAAAAAAATGTACAAGTACAGAGAGTGTGGTGAGGAAGATGTGACTGACCAAACAATACACTACACCTTCTCTGCAGCTATAAAAGAAAAAAAAAAAAAAAAAAAAAAAAAAAAAAGAAAGGAAAAAAGACACTTTAGGTACTGAAATAGATGGATTTTTCAGATTGTAAGTACAAAAAAACAAAGTATGCTGCCATTTTTATGAGAAAGGGTATAAAACATATGCAGTATTTGCTTTTTAATGTATAAATTACCCGTGAAAGAAAACCCAGATTAGAAAGGGAGAGGTAATGCTGTTTTTATTTGCAGATGGCATGATCCTATCTGTAGAATATACAAAGGATTCCAAAAAGAGGTACTGGAAGACTAAAATAAGTTCGGCCAGATTGCAGACTATAAGATCAATAAGATAAACAATCAATTATGTGTCTATAGTTTAGCAATGAGCAATTTGAAATAAAATTAAACAATTTCATTCATAATGTCATCAAAAAGAATAAAATATTTAGGAATAAATTTAATAGAAGTGCGAGTTTTGCACTCTGAAAACTACAAACCACTGATGTGAGAAATTAAAGATCTAAATAAATAGCGATACAGTCCATGTAATTTAAAACTGGGTAAAACATTGAACAGACATTTCATCAAAGAGATATGAGTGGCCAATAGGCATATGAAAAGATGTTCAACATTATCAGTCATTAGGAAAAGGCAAATTTAGATCACGAGATCACTTTATACCTACTAGGATAGCTATAATAAAAAAGATGGACAGTACTAAGTGCTGACAAGGAAGCAGAGAAACTGGAACCTTCACATACTGCCGGTGGGAATGTAAAAATGGTACAGCCGCTTTGGAAGACACTTTGGCATTTTCTTAAAAACTAAACATAAACTTAACATATTACCCAGTAATTCCACTTGTAGGTATATACCCAGAATGAAACATATGTGCACACAAAAATGTTTACATAAATGGTCATAGCATATTATTATCCAAAAAAAATGAACAATCCAAATGTCTAGAAACAGGTAATTAGACAAAATGTGGCATATCCGTGTAATGGAATACTTATCAGCAATAAAAAGGAACTACTGCCCTGACCAAATGAAAAGTTGCTGGCTTGATTCCCCATCATGCCACATGCCTGGATTGTGGGTCTGGTCCCTGATCAGAGCACATACAAGAGCCAACGGATTAATGTTTCTTTCTCCCTCCTTTCCTTCCTCTCTAAAAATAACATCTTAAACAAAAAAAGGAAATACTGATACATACCACATCATGAATGAATCTTGAAAACATGCTAAGCAAAAGAACTATGTATTTTATAATTGTATTTATATGAAATGTCCAGAAAAGGCAGAGGAAGGTTAGAAATTGTCCAGGGCTGTAATGCAGATTGGTTGCACCCCTTTTTTGGGGTGACAGAAATGTTCTAAAACTGAATTGTGGTAATAAATGCACAACTCTGTAAATTTACTAAAAAATTGAAATAGATTACTTTTATGTTATGTAAATTACACTTCCATAAAACTGTTTAAAGACCTCTGTAATGATATGCAACAAGTAACACTGAGTGATTCTGGAAAGGAGAGCTGAGTGCCTAAGGGTTAGGAGTTGGAAGGACACTCTATCCAATACTTTTACACATTTTAAATTTGGTACCATGTCATTGTATTACCAGTTTAAGAAGTGAGATTAAACAAAACAAAAGCTTACATAGAAGAGTGTGGCAATATAGGTCTAATAGCTCTAGTGAGTTTAACAGGAGTAAAATATATGTTAGGCCACAGAAATGCCCTAGTCATAGAGAAACAAAATTTGCTGTCAACATGCTCTCCCTATCAGAAACTCAGCATGCTTAGTTCAAGGAGACATGCTTAAAAATAGAATATTGACAAACTTACTAGACTCAGGAAAGCTGCCAACTTAGGGAAGGGGAGTAGAAAGCATGACCTGAGCAGAGTGGTTCAAAGAGTAAAGACCAGAAAGAAGAAAAACACTTCAGTGAATGAAGTGGGGACCCAAAAGGTAGAAGGTTAGACCTATATCCCATGGCTTCAGAGTGAAAAACTGCAAACAGAGCCAGGGAATCAATGCAGGCAGATTTTGGATCTTTGTTAAGTTACATCCTTTGATAGCTGAAGCCTTACACAAATGGAATGAGCTGCCCATGAACAGTGAGTGATGCTCTTGGAAGTAGAAGCAGGAGCACCTTGCTGTACATTTGAAGCCTGAGTCTGTGAACCTCCTACATTTCCAAAGTACAAACCCAGCTGTGGTATGCAGCACCACTGGTGTGAAAGAACACACGTTTACATCACATAAAATGAGGAGCCTTCATGTGTGTCTTTTTCCATTTCTAGGTCAAGTCTCTCTGATTAATTCCTGTCTAGAAAGAGGTTAATATTTAAAAATAGAAAATAATCGAAAAAAATTACCTCAGTAAAATATATTTAGTCTTCTAGAATGATGAAAATAAAAACCTTAAAAAAACAAGTGTTTTCAAGGATGTGGAGAAATTGGAAACCTCATATTTGCTATAGGAATGCAAAAGGTGACAATATTTTGGGTAACAGTCTAGTAGTTTCTCAAACAGTTAAACATTGGGTTATATATGACCTAGTATATATTCACTTCTAGGCGTATGCACAAAAGAAAACATATGTCCACACAAAAATTTGTATATGAACATTCATGGCAGCTTTGTTAAACGAAACCAAAAAGTGGAAGAAATCCAAATGTCCACTAACTGATGGCTAGATAAATAAAATGTGGTATATTCAAACAATGGAATGATGTTATTTGGTAATAAAAAGGAATAATACATGCTACACAAATGAACCTTGAGAACATGAAGTGAAAGAGCCTTTTGTACAATTCCATTCATATGAAATGTCCAGAACAACAACAAAAAAAAATCTATAGAGAAAACAGATTAAGTAACCACAGCCAGAGGCTGGAGCAGAGGTGGGAGGTTGGGGGAAATGAGGAATGACTGCTAACATGTACAAGGTGTTTTTTGAGGTGTTGAAAATGTTTTAAAATTAGATTTGGGTGATGGTGCACAGCTGTGCATACACTAAAACCCACTACACTGTATACTTTAAAAATGTATTTATTCATGTATACCAACTGAAATACATGTAGATTATGAAGACTTATCTGGAGGAAAAAGCTTCTCATACTTTATAGTTCTACATC